AGCGATGCCTCTGCAAAAGTCGACGGGTAAAGTATTACTGAGGGAGGGTGCCAAAGCTGCCGCGGGTGTTGTGGGCGACGTGGTCACGGGTAGTGCAAAAGCGTCAGAAAGTATAAGACGGCGTGGTAGTAGAGCTTAAAAGCACAATGTCGGGCGTTTTGGGACCATTCCTACAGGAACGTCGAACGGTAAGCGCGCAGGCAAATTAGTACGGTACTCAGACACCGATAAAACGTAGGAAAAAACAGAGGATTTCTATGGTTGGCGTGGGACGTAGCGCCCTGTTGAAAAGAAAGAAGCGTAGGAGAAAGGTTAAGAGAAGTTTGGTATTCTAGTAGAGATTTAACGTAGTTTCAAATTATGATGTCGGGGAATATGGATCACGTGCAGTGCGGTAAAAGTGAGCTGGATTTATTTTCGCTACCGGGTATGGTTTCCACGATGACGGATTCACATTGGACCAAATATAGCCCCGTTACGGGTCTCGGACAGCTGGACGGTACCATGAGGTTTGATATCAACAACCCTATAAACAGCTACGTAGACTTGGCCGAATGTTACCTGAGAATTGTATGCGAATTTAAGACGGCGGATGGTCGTGCTACCGTCGCTGACAATATGGTGAGCGAGGATGGTCAGACGGTGACTAGACACAGACGTGTGCGCACCAGTGACAAACACTCTACATTCTCTATTTCGTGAGGTAAGGGTGATAGCGGGGTCTAACCAGCTAGAATTAACGGACAGTCTGGGTACATACCCGTACAGAGCGTTTATCGAGACCCTACTGAGTTGCGATCAATCGCAAATAGACAACAATCTGGTAGCGCAGAATTTCATTAAAGATAAGGCGGGTTGTTTCAATAACTTCACTCTAGGGCAGGGAAATTCAAACCCGGGTTTCGAGGAACGACGACGCAAATGCGTCCCCAGTAGACCCGTAGAGCTCGTCGGGAAATTACACTCTGATTTGTTTATGCAGCATAGATATCTCATAGACGGTGTACCTTTAAAAATTGAACTGATACGTACCCCCGCATAATTTCTACATGTTACATGGTAGCACAGACCAGGCTGGTACTCGCATACCCGGCTATGCTTGCCACATACTATCGGCCGAGTTTCATGTGAGACAGGTAAACGTAGCACCCGCCATTAGAGACAGTCATATCCGGGGTTTGACGCGTGGTAGCACTGTAAAGTATCCTATAGCTCAAGTGAAAACCACTGCACACGAGATTCCTCAAGGCTTGAGAGAATATAATTCTGAACACTTAATAATGGGTCATATCCCTAAAAGAATAGTACTCGGTCTCGTCGACAACGAATCCTTTGCGGGGGTTTCGAATAAAAATCCTTTTAATTTCCAACCTTTTGCATTGACTGAAATAGCCGTAAAAGTGAACGGTCAGGTGGTAGGTAAAAGATGTCATACCGTCAATTTCGAGCCCGACTCTACGCGAATGTATCAGACATATTTGGAGCTGTTTAGAAATACGGGTGGCCTTGGGAGAAATTCCACGCACACGGTGACTCTGGAAGAATTTTTAGACGGTACTACGCTGTTTGTGTTCGATTTAACGCACGATTTGGGTGCCGACATGTCACACGTGTATCCGAAGAGCTCTGGTAAGGTTGGCATAGAATTGAAATTTTCGCAGCCAACGCCCCGAGCCTTGACGCTGGTGTGCTATAGAGAGCTGGACAGTATCATAGAATTTGACCACTTTAGAAATGCTACAATACACTGATGTAGACGACGGACGGGTTACATATCCTTCTAAAATGTTGTACGGACGAGATTTACAATGGTTTGGACATAACGACCCTTTTCTTAAAAACTGCTACGGTGGTATCAGTAGTAGGGATACTTTGGAAGAGGTGTGTGGTAATAAAATACGCGATATTATGCTTAGCGGGGTGAAAAGATTGAAATATCCCATACTGTTTATTTGCAACACTGACAAGAAGAGTGAGCCGGGCAGTCACTGGTTCCCGTTAAGTATAGAAGCACCCGGTAGATTACACATACACGACTCGTACGGTATAGATTACACGCGAATTTGGGTCGAATTTCACGATTTTGTGTCAAAATATGGTCGTTTGCAATATACCTACAATAGAGTTCGCGCGCAGAGTCTATCGTCTGTAGCTTGCGGACACCATAGCCTATATTTCAGTAGCTGTCGTTCTAGGGGTATTTCCAGCGACGAGATAGTGAAACATTACAGTCAAAAGAACACGCTTAAGAACGATTCGATGGTTTTCAGATGGTACGATGATAGCGTGAAACGTATGCTCGAAAAATTCGAAATAGGCGCGGGAGTAAGGTTGTGTATTCTTAGTGGATTCTGTTTTGATTAGCGGTGACAGAGACCCTAGTGTGTTTGCTCCGACACTCTTGTATTACGAAGCATGGTGTACAGGTGCTTAGTGCCTTGGGGGTGTGGATTGGCTCGTGCCCCCGGGGGTTGACGATGGTGTCACCCCCCGTCGCTAACTTGACAGCTTGACCTCCCGGAGGATTGACGATATGTCACGCACGTCGTTAGACTGACAGCTTGACCTCCCACGGAGGGATTGACGATGGTGTCACGCACGTCGTTACCCCTGACTGACTGACCACGAGATAGTCAGTTAGAACCCGACAGCCGGAGAGCGAGGTTGTGTCCACTCACTATAGCAAAGTTGTCTCAGTACTACGATACTCTTAAATACCAGAAGGATGGAGAAAGGGGTCAATTGTCCGACTGCTATGAGGATGATACCGACGCGAGGAAGCAGCCAGTGACTTTATCGGACTATGTATACGAAGACGGTGTAACTCTGGATGGTAAATATCATCTTCAACGCGGGTACGACACCTGTGGGAAACAATCATCGGTAGTGCACAGAAAGCTGCTGGTCGATTTAAGTCAGAACTACTGCCACGAAACGATGTTATGTGGCTACGTCAGGATGGCTACTTTAAAGGACTGGCCCGAACAGTTGGTTCAGAAGGGTAGACAGCTAGTCCGGAGAGGGTTTTATTATACCGGTGTTTCGGACAAGGTCGCGTGTGCCTGGTGTGGATTACGATTGTGGAAATGGTGTGCCGAGGATGATATCGACTTTAAACATCACAGGTTTAGCCCATCATGCTCATTCCTGAAAATTACGTGTCCCTTCAAATTCGACAGTGATACGAGAACTGCTTTGTGAACTGAGAGCTGAATTGTGAGTAAAAAATGTAATGTAAGCATATTTACGAATAAAATTTGTGAAATGTTACTTACTAGTACTTGCCTCTGTTGTGTTTTATAAAAAAAGTGTTGACGATGTCCCCCGTGGGTATATTTTTGGGGGGATGGTTTAAACAATGAAGAATACGATGTTCGTACGGTCTTGTATTGTAGAGAGCTTTACATAGACTGTCCGACTTCTATGGTAGAATATAACCGCCTTCCCGTGATGTATTGTAGAGAGCTTTACATAAACCGGATGGCGTGTTATTGAGCGTCTTGTTACATTTGTTTTGCTGCCTTGTATTGTAGAGAGCTTTACATCGACAGCACGACATTTACAGACCTCTTTCAAAATTGTTCCCTGTTTGGGGTTTACTATACGAGGTAAAGAACGTAACACTCCGTACTGCTTTGCCGTTTTCTACCTCACAGATTTGTTTTTATGTAGAATATCACCGTGTTGTATTGTAGAGAGCTTTACACAGACGTGTGATTAAGAGTGTGTAGGTATGTCTTGCGGTCTAGTATTGTAGAGAGCTTTACATAGACTGTACAACATTCCCTAGCCTCCTTCAAAATTTAATGGTACGCTAATGGTGAGGTAAAAAATGGAGATTATTTGACGGACGCACTAGGATTGTTATGGCCGCCATTTGCGTGTGTGTCGTCACAGAGATGGCGAGTCAGCGCCTTTTTCCTACGTCAGACACTGTGACGTCTTTTTCCTACGTCATAGCGTGGTTAGCTCCTCTTTTCCGTAATCGCCTCCCTGTGACGTCATGGTGATGGTGGGTCTTTTTCCGACGTCACAGGGCGGTCAACTCCTCCCTGTGACGTCATGGTGGTGGTGGGTCTTTTTCCGACGTCACAGAGCGGTCAACGCCTCCCTGTGACGTCATGGTGGTGGTGAGTCTTTTTCCGACGTCACAGGGCGGTCAACGCATGACACTGTTATCTGTTATCTTCCAGTTAACTGACTGAGTGACTGACTGACTGATTTGGTTTTACGCCACTTTTAGCAATATTCCAGCAACATCACGGCGGGGGACACCAGAAATGGGCTTCACTCATTGTACCCATGTGGGGATTCGGCTTGACGAGCCAACGCTTTAACCACTAGGCTACCCCACCGCCCCTCCAGTTAACTGACACGAATAGAACAGATGCAGGCCCACCAAGAAGGCTGGAGACATCCTACCAGATGTCATCAGACAGATGACAGTAAAGAGTTATTTCACTTCAATGATTTTAGATGTGTGTGACCCTTGGACTTTACGTTGAAAGCTTGTTTTTGTCGCTCCATCTCAGTTTGCTCAACTGTCACACATCGGTTGTTTTATGTCATTTTAAATATTTTATGTCGTTGAGATTGTGATCAATACATTTGACTTCAGACGTCATCTTTAAGTGTTTTAAAAGAAGGGTGATTTAAAAGTAAAGGTTATTTTCGTGTTTGGTGTTTAACGCAGCACTCCGCAAAATTACTTATAAATACAATCCAGTTACTTTGACACACCACACTTCGTCACCACGCCCGAACCACAGACCCATCATGTCGACCTTTACGACCAGAATGACATAAGCCTTTTATGTCCAGACATAACTGATAGCTGGTACAGAAGGAAGAGGATCTATTCTTTTTGAGTAAGTATTTATCTTCAAAACCTTAAAAAATGTTCAATAAAATACCTTCAACATCTATATGTGCAGTGTTAGGGTTAAAGTTAAAAAGCGAAATGTGATTAGAATTCAAGAAAATAAAAACAAATATCCGCATAATCTTCCCTCTGACTATTGTTCCTTTATTTGCAATCAGACAGGTAACTACTATCACATATCAACAAGTCATATAATCACATAAGCAGCCACGTAACTGGATATTTCGAAGTTTCCTCCTCGCCGCATGTTAGCATTCAAAAATAGTATGCACATTCATGGAATTATTTTAATTGTGGCACAACCTGAAACTGTTCATTCACATCGTGAGCTCCTTACATTACAAATGAAAAATGAAACCTCTCCAGCCTTCTCATTTCAAGTCCTCTAAGAAAGAAAATGATGACCGTGAATGATATCGGAAGGAGACGTGACTGTGTAAAATTGAAACACATTGTAACATAAAGAATTCAACTTTGAAAATTTATAATTAACGAACAATAAAATTGCCACCTTCAAATAACTGACCCCAACGCGTGTTACATAAATTGTGTAATATTGGTGGCAATTTTGGCATTGATTTGTGTGATCTCGTTTGCATAAACCTCCAAACAATCTAATGCGTCTATCAACGCGTAAATGAATATCTACGAGGAAATATGTTGAGTCCAAACTTCTTTAGTTGGTTATATCACATACAAATTACAATTTCTAACAGAAATAAATCAAACAGTGATTCCAAGTCTGCTATTGTAAGTCAGCTCCAGCAAGCAGGTGTATATACTTACTTATCAACTGTGGTTATATATGATATGAAATGCCGTGTTGAACAAAGGCACAACATATGGTTGTTACACATGGATTACATCAATGCAAAAGTGAACTAGTCTAGATGCTGAAGTAGTCAGAAAGGCTTATACATTGTCTAAACATCCTGTGACACCTGATTAAAATCGTTTCAAAGAAGGATTCAATCATCTGTCTGTGAGTGACCAGCATTTCAGTCCTTGGATATCACGCGAAACTGTGATGATCAAATAAGTATTGGTTTCAGACGTATGGTCAAAATGTGCTTCCCCTCATATATGAAAGTTTCAAACATTTATTTCTGATATAAAACCAAATAATGTGATAAGGAACACTGTAAAGGTATCTGATATTTAGTAACATGTACCTATACTACCTCCATGTGAAGTACGTTAATTTCATTGTTCAATGACACTTTAACAAGCTTCCTACCGGCTCGGGTTATACTGCTACAAAGAGGCGTACATCAGACCGTATTACCCCCGAGAGAAGCATACAATTGCAACTTATAGTGTACCATAGGAACCAGAACATACGCAGATAGTCCAATTTCGGCATATGCTCATTTCATTTTTCCTGCAACAGAATACTCAGAGTTATCTTCTACTCCCGATGTAGTATCATACGGCGAGCTAACAGTCTCAGAAGCATTGGTTCCCCTATGAAAATGGTCATAGTCGTCTTCATCTGTGTTCCTTTCGGTCGTACTGATGTCGGCCATTGCCTTAGTTGCAGAGGCAGCAGTGTCGTAGTCATTCTGGTGTGTCTGAGTGTTGGCTTTCTTTTGGAAGTGATTGTAACCATAACTATCTTCTCCAAAATTTTCTTGCTGGGCTATTGAAGGTGTTGTGTCGTAGTCACTGATCTGAAGGGATGGCTTGTCTCCAATGTGATTATAGTCACCTTCAGCTGCAGAGACTGTTGAATTGTCTCTTACAGTTTGATTCCCAGCAGGTTCGATGGTGAAGTAAGTGTTTGTAGTTGGAGGAAGACCCATGACATCCGCGGTAGCGTAGTCATGGTCACAGTTCTGTGTCTTGAGGTCCTGGATTTCATGGTAGTTGTTCTGTTGGATCTTACCGGCCAAACTGTAGGTCATGTCTGACTTTGCATCTATAGAAGGTGTCGTCGCTTTCGATTCGCTGTTCGCTCGTCTGGAAGTCAATTTAGAGATTTTAATAATAATAAAAGTACAATAATAGTTGTTTTGTGAACATAGTTCATTGCAGTCATAAAGCTGGTAAGCAATTCAATTCTGTCTGTGTTTACACTTGTCAGAGAGGTACACACAGTACGTGGTCTACAGTACCAGTTGTCCGTTTTTCATTTTTATGGAAGCCATGGTGGCTGAGAGGGTTGGTCGGTTGTTCTTGCGATTAGGTACCTGACTCTGAGGGTGTGGGTTCGAATCAAGGATGGGACTCAACCCAACAAAAGTACTGGAATCTGTACCTTACTGAGAAACTGTAATCCCAAATATAACGTATGTTACATTTGCCAACTTTCTAAATGGCATTGTGTATTCATATATTTACAAATATGTAAAATGGAATGCATCAGTACTAACCTCTGCCGTATGATCCACGCTGACACCAGTGTTACAACCAGTACAGCTACGACTGTGGCCACAACTCCACCAGCTATTGCACCAGTGTTATTTCCCGTCTGTCCTAATATCAAGGCAAACATTATGTTAACGTAGTTATCATATATTTTGGCGGCCAGACAATCAACAATCTGAATTTGTAAATTAATGCTGGACGAGTTAAGTCAATGACATATATTCATCGTTGCTTCAGCCACCCGTGCTTGTCGTAAGAGACGACTGAGTGTTGCTGCATTTTATTGTATCCCTGTTGCGGATATATTCTTATGGGTGTGGAAAGGGCATTGTCGCTTCCATTTGTACGTCCAGACTCGAGTATTTAGAGACTGTCGTCATATAGATGGAATATTTCGGTAACCGACATGAATATTTCCTCTTGCACCTCTTGTAGACACAGCTGACAAGAACGTTACTACGATGGTCTGATAATTGTTTTTCCCGGCCAACAAAATACACTGGAAAGTTATGTAGCGGAGCCTAAGAAGCTCGTAGGAACTTGATTATAGTATATAGAATTTGGTCGTAAGAATTATTCTTCAAATACTAATTTATGTCCTAGGAAAAGGATCAAAGAAGTCTTTTCAAGTCACCAGCCCCTCCACATGTGCCTAGCTGCATGCAACACCTACACTACTGCCTAAAAGGTCATTCCACTTACACGCGCGTGCAACGCGTGACGCAACCCGTGTGAGTCGCGTTGGTCACTCATGTGGAACACGTGAGCCACGCGTGTGACACCCGTGTGACATACATACATACATACATAACGATGAGATTAACTTCAGTTGTCGGCATTGGTTACTCATATATCATCTATGTTCATATACAGCTTTGTGTGTATATAACTGAGTCTCCCGCAAACATACAGTGTATCAAATTTATCGTTCAAATACATATTTGTTACAAGCTCTTAGGTTAAAGGAAGCTGAAAATTCCTCAAAATTGGGATTATCATTCGCAATTAGATGTACATTTGTGAGAGGGGATATTACAATACAAGGTGCTGGACTGAGGAAATGTGGTGAAATCGATATGAGTGATACTGACTCCACTATTTGTCCATAGTAAAGCATTTACATTACTCTGGTGATGTGGTATGTTTGTTGTTGAGAAACTGTATTTACGGTTGACCCCGTGCTTGTACCTGTTTGAGGAGAGACATACTGTGTATTGAGAGTCACAAGTTCCAATGACAATGGAACATGATAGAAGTGATCATACATCAACTATATATGGGCAACATAATGGAAATATTCATTGGTTACGTACATGTGGTTGTCAGATCCTCAGTTTCACACACTATACTAAACGGGTCTGCAACTATTATCTTTTGACGCAGTTAAGCATCTATCATAATTCTGTTAAAAACGAACAGCGGTTGAAAGTGCGCAAAAACTAAGCTATTGTCCACCGACATTTACCTTGAGCATTTTGACGTAGGGACTAGTGTTGTGTAAGCTTTATCTCAATGTCAATACAGATACTTTTCCTACATGATATAGAAATTACGTACACATTATTTGTAGAAGAGAGTATCTTCAGCGTATGAAATAAGCCAAAAACCCAGCCAGACATCAGGGCTGGTAACTTCAAAATGTTACCAGCCCAAATTGGATTTAACCAGGCCAGACAATCAAAAGGATAGAACTCAATTTTTAGTTACAATGAAAATTGAATAAATCTGAGACATGTATTTATTGTCTAGCAGACTATTCACAGCAGTCATTTTCAGAGAAATCAGACTAAAATTTTATCTAATTTTTTTACCAGACCATCAAGCTGGCTAGCTGTAAATTCAGACCGTCCGTCAGAAATCTAGCCTGTCTTGGTCGGTCGGACGGGCCTTATTTCATACACTGGTATCTGTTGTAACTATCCATTCTTACCGTTGATCAGAAGCCAAATTGAATACCGCTTTGACAAATCTAAGTATATCGGAAGCTCGGTTGTCACGTTAAGTCTCTCAAACGGTTCAAAAACAGTCGAACAATTAGTCGTTGTGACGTGGGTTCCATGTAGAACAGACAGCTGTGATAAGCATTGTCCTGGAGGTCCTCGTCTTAGTCTCACGTCGAGGGCATATACTGACATGCCTGTAGCATTGACATCAGCTTTGAAGGTGCACATGTAGGTGCTGTTTTGGACTGTACAATTAGACATAACTGTATCTCCATGGGTAAGTAGGACCTTAGATAATCCCTCTGCACTAATGTCCAGGGATTCATCTTCTGGAAAAGTCAATGAAGCATTTTCTGCAACATTCATAGTCTTAGTCATTAGAAACATCGAGATACACACGAGCGCCTTATTAAGATATGCACTGAATTGCTTAATTGTCGGGCGATGATTTCTACCTTTCCAGAATTACATGCACGTATGAGTTCAATGTAGACTTTCAGGGAGGCTTCAGTGTACATCTTCTTGTGAGCTCCTCCATCAGGAAGGTATTTTACTGGACTCTCTACTGTTAGCTTTAGACGTTAGATTGTCAGACCGTTAGATTTCACTGTGCACAGATACCAAGATGTGAGATATGAGCACCCGAGAGCTACACAATTAGAGTGTACAGTTCACATTAAAAAACTAATTGTGTAGTATGTACATCACATACGAATTTGAATTATAGAAAAATCAATGACAGTAAAACCTTTATATGGAATGGTCTATGTTCCGACACAGCAGAAGCTTGAGAGTAAGCATTTTGCCCACTGCATGTCCTTTGTTAGTGGACAGCGAGTGGAACCAAAAACCAAGTTTTCAAAGCGCTTGCATTGTTACTTCACGAAGCCGATGCATGCATGGAGATACGCATCTAATGATCACTTCTAAAATCGCTAAGTAGCATACGTTTGTTATCAACAGATAAAGCAATAAATGTACCTTACAAATAGCGAATCGCTCTGTTTGCCTCACCAAAATAGTCATTCGCTGATAAATCAGTTCGTAAAACGAATGTAAATGACGACAGATATTTCGATATATACTGAGCACATATTCATGATTGTAGTGACCACAACATTCTGAACACGTTATCGTAAGATTTAATCTGTCTCTAAATATAGAAATAAAGACAGACTCTTATTCAGCTAAAACAACAACAGACAATTACCTTCAATACACCGATATTTGACAACAGAGAATGCAAGAGCAGCACTCCGCCGGGGAACAGGATAGCGACAGTTTGTCTTTCTGGAGCAGTTGCTGTAAAGGGGGAGAAGCTCGTTGTTGCTGAATCTGTGATAACCATGTTCTGTCACATTCGCCGGATTCACGGTTTCGCAGTTAGAAATACCTGTCAACGCACAGTCTGAGTTGTTTGTATAATATGCGTAAAAAATGGCGATCTTCTGGGTGGGGTTGCAGCGGAGGTCATGTCGAACACAGAACAGACGACCGGATCCATAGCATGCCTTACTGGTGTATGTTGTACCTACATGAACGACACGACGCATGAATGAACATTTGCTGTGGAATGAAATGCAGTTTGAATGCTATGTTTCGGATTATTATGCTCTTGTCCTTTTTGTCCGTAACAAATGCGCTTATGTCTGTCTATATATGCTCACATGCACCACAGATACAGCTCTATGTACAATACATTTCCAAGCTTGAGATTCCGAATGCTGTTTATTAGACTATTTAATGGCGGCGTGATAATCGAAACTGTCAGTAATAATCATCGATTCAGTATTTCGGGCAAATGGTACACAATAACTAGCTTCACAGAACTAAGACTCGCTAAGATACATATATGCGTATTAAAATATAACACTCGTTTAATTAAGTTAGATAAATTGATGATAAAAACTTTGCCTTGACTGTTGAACTCATTACAGGATTACACTTTGGACTAAAAAAATGCACGGCCTTGCACAATTGCTGCTATTCACGAGAACAGTGACGCTTATTTTGAAGATTTGTTTTGGGTGTTATCTTATCATATCCAAGTTTATTATACCCAAAGTCGACACGCTTCTATAATTATTTTGAATCTAATGTATTCTATATGTGATATGGATTTGTGTCAGTGGTAATCATGATAAAACTGTCGAAGTTGTTGTTCGAATTGCTAGAAAAATGCAGGAAGCATTGCATTTTCGAGGGAAAAGACCACCTTTGTTCACTTTAAAAGCACCGAGAACAAGACACTTATCATTTCAATGCACTCAGTGCAGCCTTGAGAGCAGTCAAAGTGCAGAAGTCAGGAAAAGACATCTATTCATTATGGAACTAGTTCGGCATACCACTAAAATGACCAACGGAGAGGTATATGAATGCTTCAGTGTGATACCTTGTGGCGTGACTTTGGAAACACCGTCCACAGAACGTCCATAAAAACTCCGTTCAGCTGTTTAGACATTTTCAGCAAAACTTTAACATTTTAGGCCGTCTTGATAGTGGCAGTCCACCATAAACAACCCCACGTCAAGACAGATTCACCTCCAACACCACAGGCAAATGAGGGCTATCTAACGAGAACAGTTCGACGACGTCGGCGCCATCCATGTAAGACACCCAGCCCAAGTAAAAAACATCGGACAGACTGCGATTGTGATGGAAGATGTTCTGTTCACCGATGAGGCACGTTTCCCTTTTTCACTGAGCTGACGGCAGGACCCGTGTCTACAGACGCACTGGTGACCGTTTCATCAAGATAAGTAAGTTCTCGACTGGGGATCGTTTTAGAGGTTAGGTTATTTCGATCTTATCTGACAACAGTTTCAACAAGGACGCCAATGCAGTGACGTTCCGCGACGAGATTGTACAAATAGCCACTTTTACTATTTTTACGCAACAGATCATATGTTGCTCCGCGGTTTCTATAACGGCAGTAACTTAATCATGTTAATGTTAATGTGTTATCCGTCCCCAGCAAGATCCCCTTGACAAGATTTGTCACCCACTGAACATGTCTGGGATGAAATAGAAAGACGTCATCCTAATCCTCCAACTTCAGGAACTCCACAAAAATCCATTCTCGGATATGTAATGATCTTCGCTAAGGACTTCCATGGACGTCTAGTGGCTTCTAATGAGACGGGATTCCAGGCCTGCATCAATGTACAGGATGGACACACCCGTTATGATTCTGTGAACTTGCTTGTGTTTTGGCTCATTTGTATATGCTCGGGTTGTATTTCCATCAACACATCATTTGCGGCTGTAAAAGTGTATGACTTATTCTGTTTCTTGTTTTGGGTCTCAATACCTTTGGCCTTTGGGTATAGATCTTAGGTAGCAGTTGACAGATATACATTGCATGTACTTGCACCAAGTGAAAAGTATTCGTTCCAAATGTCGCTCCCAGTATATCTACGCAAAACGCAAAATAACGTTACTGTTCCTGTATTTCCTAGAATAGTTGCTATACTTGCAGGTATATGCATAAAGGTACCTATGCATAAATGCATCAGCAACATCCCTGTCTGTCTTTGTCTATACACGGAAAGCTCTACTGTTTTCGTATGCTCACCATTCGTTCCATATGTCCATATACATGTATATCTTTACCTGTAATGAACTGGCTGAAGAATGCAGCAAAAATAGGTGACATATATCAAAACGACCACAGACTTTCCCATGACGTTGACTCTTGAACTCGTCGCATTATCACGGAACGTTCTTCCTGGTTAAACACCGCCTGCACATGAAGGACATGCAATACAGACAACTATGTACAGGTCAATGTGGGTACAATGGTGATTATCAACGATATCATGAATGCTGCCAACTTTATAATGCGAGAGACAGGCTGGTGTGAGAGGTAGCCCTCTTAATGAAAAATATATTCCACACGACTTGTTTTCTACTTGTTTGATGGGACATTAAAACGATATAAAAGCTATGAAATTGTTAGTACTACTAATCAATCTCTTTTTGGAAAAGTCTAGTGGTCAGAACTTTACGCTCGTTACACCTCGAGACCCGGCTTCTCGATTCCCCAGAGGTATATTATTATTATGCTAACATTTGCATAGCGGCGATATCAAGCTCAGCTGAGCTGGTCAAAGGCGCTTTGTTTTTCCCTCGATCACTGGATGTCAAACTCAACGGCACGTCGTATTATCAATCTCAACTCCTTGGTATCATACGCTGCCAACTCTTGCAGCCACTAGACGCACCGAGTAAGCATGGCTTTCCAATCACTACGAGTTACCTATTCACAGCTGAATTGGACTTGGACACCCCAGGTATATAATAGGTATAATGTGTAAAGCCAAACTTGGTATTCAGGGAAGATTGCCAGAAAATTATCTCTTTACTCACCAGTTTTTGTGTTATGTATCATCATAGAGGCTTGGAACACAGAGTTCCATCTCATCCTACCAAATATCCTTGGTTGTTGTGTGAGTTGAGTACATCTTGCGAACAGGTCACTTGTCTAAGAGGACACCACATGGTACGGTTCCCTATTCACAGCTTTGTGC